AGATACCTGGGATCCTGAGCTCACAATAGGGTGTGTGGTGTTTGACAGGCCAAGCATATAACTTCATCTATCTGTGACCTCAAATGGAGCAGAGTACCAAAAACCTGGGAATTGATAGCAGCCTTAGCTTCAGGGAACAATATCTTCATTGGACTTTTAACTGCCTTCCTCATTTCTCTGATGACCAACAATTATTTTTTTTAGAATGGTTTAAGGTCTAAAGATCTCCTCAAGCTATCATTCTCTGGTTATTTTTAGACAGTGCAGTCTGCTCCAGAATGTGTCTCTCTTCTCCTTCACCTGCCTTGGTAACACCTGCTCTGGTATCTATTGATGTGGGTTTGGACTGTGCTCAGACACTTAATGAGGCAAAGCTCCATGAATCCATCACTCCATCTTGATGTCTACTGTGATCGAATACCAGCAAAAGCAGCTTACAGACAGGGAGACTTATTCTGCACAGCCTAAGGACTCAGTCCATCGTGGCAGGGAAAGCATGGTGCTGCAAGTAGGACATATAGATGACAGTGTTCATTCAGTCGGGGACTATCACATCTGGCATGAGCCCACATTCAATGGGTTGGGTCTTGCCATCTCAGACAACCTAAACTAGAAACCCTTCCTTCACAAGTGTGCCCAGAGGTTTGTCTTCTAGGTCTCTGGATCCTGTCACGTTAACATTCAATGCTAGCAGCACCAGAGGAGAACTTTGTATTGGGTCTTAGTTTAAGAACCAAGCTTCTCTTCCGATGAATTTTCTTTTTTTAAACTATTCTATATTCTGGATGTAGAATGGTGTCCTATTAAAATGTTTCCTATTTCCCAGATGGCTTATGCCACTAGGAGTCTCAGAGCCACAGTGTTCCAGACTTAAGACAGGGCCTTTACAGTACTTATTAACATGTGGATTAATAATTATGTCCATGTACAAATTTTACTTGTTTTTATTATTTTCCTATCAGAAGCAATGTTCCTTTTACTGTTTCTACTATTTTTTTTAAGTTTTTGCATATTACGGAGGGAACTATAAGACCATTGTGATCTAAGATGAGAAGACATACTAACCCCTTGTGCCTTGGAGGGCCAGCTGGAAATTTGATAATATGTGGGATTTGGAGATAGAAACTGAGTTCCACTTCAGTTACAGGGTGATGGATGCTTCCCAGCTGTCTCAGTGCCCACTGCCCAGGAGCTGTGTGAACAGCTGCCCCTCTCAGGTCCATGAAATTTCCGGTGACTTTGTCACAACATCTTAGAGGTGAGAATGCTGAATGTCACAGATATAATTAAAATGTCCTTTTAGGTTCTTTTCTTACAGAGGAGCCATGAACACACATAACTTGTGGAAATAGTTCAGAAATGAGCCATATACTCACATTGGAAATCTACTGAAGCCACACACACACCTGTCTGGGCCCCTTAAGTCTTTATATATGACATAAAGGCACTGAACCACGGGACTAGATTACCTTTTCCCATATGATAAACCTGCAATAAAGGTTCCGAACATCTTGAAAACAACTGGAAATTTCCCCAAGACTCTTGGTTGGTGGATTATTTGTTTGCTACAGGCTATCCTGTAGCCTAGGCTAGCTTGAAATCTGAATGTAGCCAATAAACATGAGGTTCTGAGCCTCCAGCCTGTACCTTCTAAGGCCTAAGATTATAGGAATGAGTGCCACACTAGATTCATGCAGTGCTGGAGATCAAACCTGGGGCATCCTGCATACTAGACAAGCAAGCACTCTACCATCTGAGCTATAGCCCTAGGTCTTCTCCAACGGTTTTTTGGGAATAAAGAATTGTGTCTAGAGAAAAGAGCTAGAAGGTGACTCACTAGAGCCAGACTAACACTGAAGGTGCTCAGAAGCCTCTGTGGGTCATCTTCAGTATATAAAGGTAGAAATTTGTATAGCTAGGATGAGTTATATTAGCTGGAATTTGACTGGGGCATGTGGATAGTTAGTCCCTGTCTTGCCTTCAGGAATCTGATACACTGGATTCTCCCTGCAGGCTGGAGTTGGGAGTCCAACTGTGAGCAGTGCCAGTGAGGTGCTGAGAAGCCTTTGTCAGCCCTGTTGGGGTCCGATTTTCTAAGTCAACATGACCTTCCAAAGGCTTCCAGGACACAGTGAGCCTGCAACATGGAGGCTTTGCTTATAGTTCATAAACCACGGCTAAAAATGCATTTTATGGTGAAACAGGAGATTGGCTAATCTGCCAGGTTAACAGAGAGTCATCCTCAAATGTTTCCTGTGTACATTGTGAAACCCTGGGGCAACAGAAACGTTCCCCTTGACCTCCAGTGTCCCTCTGCTTCCCCCATCCTGACTTTCATTGGCTACACAAGCCGTTATCTGAGGCAAGATACAGCCAGACCACCATGGTCTAATGTTTCTTAGTTCCTGCTATCAAGTTAAATCTGCTTGGAAAAAGGAAAAATAGAAACTATTTCAGTTTTGTTGTGCAATTTTGTTATTCCTGGAAGGAAAGACCTTTTTGTTTCATTTGTTTTGTTTTGTGTTTTTACATTGAATGGGCAGGTCATATTTTGTGTGAAAAAATGCACAGATACCAGAGACAAAACAACAGCAATAACAAAACCCTGCTCAGTTCTGTGGGAACTGGGCACTGAGGCAGTAAGGACACAGGTGTCTGTGACTGGACGCTAAGGTGCTGACTGACAGAAAGCAGGCTTCTCCCTAGGCTTCACACATTACCACAGAAGCTCTATGGGGATGAAGAAATGCTAGCCCGGTTTTTCTTAAGTCATAGTGAATGCCGTTAAATTCTTTTTTGGACTTCCTTTACAAGATCATTTTGGTTTTTTTGTTTGGTTTGGTTTTTCTTTTTAGGGTAAAGGTGTGGGAATTTCCCAACTGCCATGTTCCACTTCACACCTCATACTGTCTTCTTTCTCTTCTCTCTTATTTTCGATGCAGACCATGGGAAAGGCACATACCCATTACTTGGTAGCCCCTGGGTCAGGACTGAGGAAAATTTGACTAGTAACTACTCCAGTAAAGCAAGGGTCTGGAATGGTGACTTAAATTCTCATGTAACTGGCTAGGGAAAGGCTGGGTCTAAAACATGGCTGTGTCTTTTACTTTTTGTTTTTGTTGTTGTATGCTGCATGTGTTTGCAGCATTTCCTCAGTCACTCTCCATGTTATGTTTGGAAACAGGGTCTTTCAGTGGATCTCAAACTCTCTGAGGCAGCTTATGAGTCTTAATGTGAGACACTATTTTTTTTTGCAGGCAAAGGCCTGATTTTTTGAGCTTCCCCATTCCCTTTTGTGGCAATGAGCCATTTGAGTCACATTGAAAAATCAAGCTTGCACCAATGGAATGAGACAGTCATTACTGCATTAGAAGTAAAAATCAGAGGTCATCTGGTCCGCCTGTGCTTGCTAGCCTTGTCTGGGTTCTGACACACCCTATGTACAAAAAGAAGCTGCCTTGCCACCTTGCTTTGCGTGTGTTCCTTTGTTGACATCATCCCATCTATCTCTCCAGTGCTTGCTTTTAGATGGGATCTGGGGACAAAACAGGTGTCCCCGCCCCTTGCATCGCAAGCCCTCTGCTAACAGAGCCATCCCCCTCAGCCGTGGATCTGCATTTCGATATTGCTTAAGCAGAGCTATCCTATCTCTGACATGAAGAAGAGCATGGCCGAGTCTTTCCATGACAAACTGCTGTCTTGCCTGACCTATCCCTTCATTTTTTATTAGTGAATTCGATGTCATACATTTAATTAGGGAAGACCAAACACTCCAAAGTTACAGCTGAAGTGTCACCCCACCCCCAACAGCACAAGGTTATGTCTCCTTACTTTTATTTGCTGATGAAAATTCCAAAGCCATACTAAACAAGATTGCTAAATTGTATCACAGTACTAAGAAATCTCCATGTACATAGTTAACTCACACACCATTCACAAGCACAGCAAATAGCATTTGAAAATAGAGAAAGTTAAAAACCACAGTTTCCTGAGTCCTGTTTACAAATCTCATTTGTTAAAGCAAAGCCCATCTCTCTAACAGTGCCTGTTAGATTTGTGTCCATAACAAGACAAGTGTTGGAATGCTTAAAACACAAAACAAATCACAAAGTTCAGGGTCACAGCTGCCCGGGGAGGTAACAGTTAATTTGATTGCCTGAGCACTAGATAGAATCTGAAGCCAAAGAGTAAGAGGAAAGATTTCAGTGAAAATGTTTTGATGCTACGTGGGACACAGCTGGAAATGGAAATGAACTGAGTTACTAGAGAATTTGAATTATGTGTACATGCACTCAAGAACAATAAATGGATCCGTGTCCAGGAATAACAATTCCTCAGATGTGGCTATGCATACTGTTTACACAGAATTCCCCAGGATTCTCTCCCTCAGCCTCAAAACAACAGGGTGTAAAACGACTGCCAATTTGCTAACCCATTTCACAGGCTTCAGGGAAAGGGTCAGCCCCTGTGAGCCCACCTGAGTAGCCAGGTTTCTCAGAAGAGTATGGCTTGGTCCTCAAATTCTGTCATGTAATTACAGACATGACTTACTCAGCCAGCTGTCCACGAGACAACTCCTGATGCTTACTCTGAAACACCAAGGACAAAGGGCCCCCATTAAGAAAGGTGTAGCTGTGATTACATTGTTTCTCTCTCCTTTTTGCTTGCCTTCACGTTTGTGGCTCAGGTTGTTTTAAAAATTAGAGCAGAGTTGAAACTAGGTGTGTAGTGACCAGAGGGTAAAATTCAACCCCCTAACTAACTCCCTGCTCTTTGATGGGAAATTCTGACAAGAGAAATAGCTGTGTCAAGGTGACCAACGCAGTGTCTTCTTATTTTCCTGAAAGCATTTGTCCTTGCTACAAGTAGCTTAGAGTTTAGAATGAAGGTCTGGCAGGCAGGATTTGTGATGGCTATTATTAGAAGTGTCACAGTTTTATCACACAGGGTCGGCCTGAAGCAGCATGGTTTATTGGAGAGAGGATGTGACTGGCACTGACCTGTTGGTGAATGAGAGATGGTGCTTACCAGGACCATACATCAGCCATGCTCAAGGGCCAGGTCATTGCTGGAGAGCCAGGGCATCCTTGAACATCATGCTGGCTTGGCTAACGAGGTCTGATTCTCTCATCTGCTGGGGAATGGTACTGGGCCACTCTCTATAGCTTCCTACAGTGGAGACAGAAGTTCTTTAAGCTATTTTAGTGTAACTATATTTCATTTTAAAATGCATTAAATATTTTAACAGTCAAAAATTAAAAACAAAAAGAGGTCTGAGCAAAGCAGGAAGAAGAGGTTATAGCTTCGTTTTCCGGGTAAGCTTCCGGGTCAGTGCATCAACTAGAAGTCTTCACTCTGTACACGAGAAGAGAAGGCCCAGGACAACTGTAGGAGTCAGTTCTCTCCTACCGTGTGAGTCCTGGGAATCAAGCTCAAGTTGTCATACAGCAAGCACCTTTACCTGATTGCTGGCGTTCCCAGCTCAGACATCACAATAGTGCTGGACCAAATAGAAAAAGAATGTTAAAGAGGAACTGCCTTCAACCTAACTGTAAGTGCCATGGCTCTAAATGGATTTGTGAGAAAGGAAAGAACAAAAGGCAAAATTTTAGTTAAAAAAAAAAAGTTTAGATGCTAACTTAAAAAAAAAATGTTTTAAAACACTGGGTCAACCCTGCATTGCCCCCAGAAAACACAGATCCTTCCATGCCATTCAGCTCCTTGAACAGCTCTACTCTTCCTAATCCATAGCTCTAGGACCTACTACTCCAGAAACCAGAAGGTCTTTGACCCAAGACTTTCGTGTTTCTAGAGTTGAGGCTCACTACCCTACCCAAACCCATCTTTGCTTCAGAATTCTGGTTTTGCCTTCTTTTCTAACACCAAAACCCTGCTAGCTCAACCTGCAGGAATGCCTCAGTGAGCTCAGAGTAAGTCATTTCTTCAGTTGTTTATCCACTTAAGAAATATGCAAGCCACTCAAAAAAATTAAGGCTTACTTGCTTATTAAAAACAAGAAACACATGTTCATTACTTCTCGAACTTTGTGTAGAATCAATTGAGGTAAGAAAATACATGGTTTTTGTCTAATGAGAGTTGGGTAAGCAACCCACAAATAGGTGTCTAATTACAGCCTTTGGTAAGTTCTGACAGGAAAAGACAAGAAGCCCCAGAGGGAGGAGGGGCTAATATCTGAAGGTGAATGTTCCAGACAGCAGCCTCCTGTTCTCCGGGATACCTCCAGAATCTCTCTGCCCGAGTTCCTTCCTTGCCTGAGGAATTCTTTCAAGACTTCCATCTAGAATATTCACTGAGCTGTGATGCCCAAATTCTCACCTATCTTTGACACATCTCAGCCCAGTGTCATCAAACCCCAGTGACTTCAACAGAATGTAGCTACCATATTCTGACACAAGCTTTTAACAACGGGCCCCAATACAAGGAACATGTCGATGGCTTTTCAAAGAAAAACTTCAAAAACAAAACTGACTTAAGTGAGATGGATCTGTCTGAGGGTGGGAGAGCATTCTGAGTTAGCTCAGGGCCAACTGTGGGCAGGTTCATCTTTTTGGCCTCGCCTTTTGGGATAGGCGTGGGGTAGTATGATAACACTGTTCTGAAGGTGGAGAAAACTGGTCTGGTCTGTCCTCCAACATGCACCTGTGTCAGTGTCTGGAGGTCGAGGAACGGCTCCAATGTGCTCAGCTGCCTCTGAGTGTGTCTGGTAAATACACTCATTGGTTTGTGTTGAGACTGAGAGCTTAAGGGTTTGTTATTTTAGGCCAAATCAAAATGTCACTTCTTCAAAGTGATTTTTCCTAAATGCCACATGTGTGTGGTCTGTGACAGCCCACAATCCTGGGCTCAGCTGGTTACCAGAAAGCCCCAGGAAACCAGGCCTTGTTCTTGGTTCTTGTTCTTGGTTAATCTACTCTTGTTCTTGGTTAACAAACAGGGAAACCCGTTAGCCAGGAATGCTAAAGATGGGAGGGTGACAGAGCAATGCAGGGAAGCAGGACTCTGTCCCAGGCTGGGAACATGGTCTCCTCCATTCTGTTTGGTGGTAATAATGTTCTATCATCTAGTGGAGGATAATCACAAACCAGGTGCCTGCCAGAATCTGAGAATGAGGTGAGAAATAAGATGACCACACTCTCAACCCGTAGGGAACTTATAACCTCTCAGAGAAAATGCAATTAGCATATAACAAACCAATCTCACATGTAGAAACTGAGAGGGGATCCTGCCCAGACAAAGGAACATCTTGGCCAGATACGGGAACAGAAGCCAAGGTCTAGCTGAGAAGACAAGACATAAAAGATGAGGCTACTGAGTTCTCTCTCTTTGTGGCTGTGTGTGTGTGTGTGTGTGTGTGTGTGTGTGTGTGTGTGTGTGTGTGTTGTTGTTGTTGTTGTTGTTGTTGTTGTTGCTTGGCAGTGATGGTACATGCCTTTAATCACAGAACTCAGGAGGCAGAGGTAGGTGGATCTCCAATTCCAGGATGGCTAGGGTTACACAGCAAAACGCTGCCTCAACACCCCACTCCCTGCAAAAAATTATCATTAGCCTGCCTTAAGAGGCTATTTGTTACAAAGCTGTCCTGCTTACTATCTACCCAATGAACTGGACATATGGTTGATTTAGATGAACTGTCTTATCTCTAAAGCACTGTAATAAATGTAGTCTCATATTGACCTCACTTTGCAGATTGTAGACAAGGAAGAAAACATGCTTGAACCACTTCTCATTGACATGGTTTTATATATTTTCCCCTTCTTATAATCAGTGTCCATAAAAAGAAGTTTAGTTAAATACAGTTTTCATTTTTAAAAGACATGGTTACAAAAGCAAATATTCACATGCTTTCATTTAAAGCTCATATTCTGGGAAGATTGCTCAGCAGATAAGAGTACACGCTGTGCAAGGATGAGGACCTAAGTCCAATCTCCAGTCCCCATGAGAGAAGCCCAGCTTGGCCACAACACCTGTAACCCTGTAACACCAATACTGTGGGAAGCAGAGGCTGGGTTTCCTGGGGCTTTCTGGTAACCAGCTGAGCTCAATGAGAGAACCTGTCTCAAAGCAATAAAGTGGAAAGTGAGAGCAGAATCCTTTTGTCCTCCTCTGTCTTCCCTGTGCTCACAGGCACGTGGACTTGTATACATACATGTGTGCACACCCTGCTCTCATATGTCACATATACTTTACACACACACACACACACACAAGAAACCTATGCAATGTATCCTACGATCAGACATAAATTATTTTTCAACAGGTACATTTACAAAGCAAGAGTACACGGTTCACTGAGTGAAATGCTCTGGGAGTCACATGTGAGCTAGATGATCTGTGACTTCTCTCCATTGGGACATACATCAATTGAAAGTTGAGTGTAGATTTCATGACTACGGGCTTTGAGTGAGCAAATCATCTTAGTATTGCTTTGGAAAACTTAATTGGCACTTTTTAAGATCTTTTCGATCTCGTTAACGGCATGGATGGGAAGTTTTATTCTGGTTCGCAAATATTAGCCTTCTGAATCACAGCTACAAAGAGGACAAGATTTCCTTTTTGTTGGACTCTGCTAAAGTGAAGAAGAGAAAAGGAGACTGACCAGAGAGGCCATCCCCTCCAAAATCGAACAGGAGCCATGGTCTTCCCCTCGGCTCCTTTGTGCAGTGCTTTGCTGAGGGGAACTAGCCTGTTCTTCAAAGTTGCTGTGATTTACACCAGACAATTCCTGATGACTGGAATTGCTGTGTCACACCTTGCAAAATATGACCTCCAGCAGCCAATCAAAGCAGTTACTTGTACAATCTGCTGTGTCTGTGTAGAACAGCAACCCCAAGACACTCTTCCCAAAGCCTCATCCCAAAGCCTCATCTAAAATTTCTACTTTCACAATAAATGTTTAATAGGGAGGGTCTACTTCTGTTATTGTATTCTCTCAAAGAGGAAGAGTACATATTCTTCCACAAGATACGAAATTGGTTGGGTCTGATTATCAGTCATGAGAGGAAATCACTTAACTTCTTCATTATTTGAAAAATGGGTTATTCTACCTGGAATGACTAAAAATCATAACAATAATAGTCTCCTTTATTTTTTCTATTCAAGATAAAAGCCTTGGTTGAAATGTTAAGTGACTGTTTTGTTTTTGTCATAGTCTCTTTTGTATTTCAAGCATTTGATGAAATAATTGTTGGAAGAAATGTCAAGAACATAATCTTTTGAGGAAAAAGTCTTGCCTCTGGACCATTTTGCTGTGTAGATATGCATGAAGCAAGGGCTTTTAAAAGTTAATTAAAAAAAGAAATTGCTGCAAGGAATTCAAAATTGTGACAGTATTCAGTAGTATGGAATGAGGATTTTCAAGAAAAAAATTATTAGTGCTCCAAATACTCCACAGACCAAAGTGCTTCCAGCTTAGGGTAATTACCATCAGCCAGGCCTTTGTCCAAGACTCGTCCTGAATGAACCTGTTCCCATGAAATTTTCTTTGACAAATCTAGGCAGAGCGAGTTACTCCCTGTGATAGCTACATACACACTGTGCTGGAGATACAATATTCCAGGACATGGTCTCTGCCCAGCCCAGGAAGTGCAGGAGGAAACCTCAGTAATCAGTCTAGCTGGGAAACTGTCCTTAGAGCAATATGACCTGGTGAGAAGATACATGCTGTTTTCATGGTTCTACAATACAGCCTCCATCCTTCTCCCAGACCTGTTTATTTGATTCACCATGATTCAGATCACCCTGTACAACCCTCACTTTGTGATTTTGTGTGTGTGTGTGTGTGTTATGTGTATGTATGTGTGTGAGTATGTGTATATGAATGTGTGTATAGTGCATGTGTGTGTGGTGTGTGTGTCTATGTGTGTGTGTATGTGTGTGGTGTGTGTATGTGTGTGTGGTGTGTCTAAATGTGTATGGTGTGTGTGTGGCGTGTATGTGTGTATGTATGTGTGTGGTGTGTCTATATGTGTATGTGTATGATGTGTGTGTGTGTATGTATGGTGTGTGTAGGTATGAGGTGTGTGTGTGTGTGTATGTGTGTGTGATGTGGTGTATACGTATGTATGTTTGTGTGTAAGCTAGAGATCAGCATTGGGTGTCCTCATTTACTGCTCTCAACCTCATATTTCAAGACAGGGTCTCTCACCCAG